CCCCGCCCCGCCGCGCAGCGGCTCGGCCAGGGCGCACACCAGCCCCAGGTGCTCCTCCGAGTCCGGCGAGTACAGCAGCAGCACTGGGCGCCTGCCTGGGGCACCTGTGGGACAGAGGGGACAGCGGTAAATGCCTTACCCCCACCCCCCCTGGCATCCCCCAGGGACATCCAGCACCCAAGCATCCACCGCCCTGCACCACCACCCAACCACCCTGGGACCCTCTGCAGCCCAGGGAGCTGTCACCCCCCAGCATCCCAGCCCCATGGCCACTGCGGCCATTGTCTCTCCATCCCACAGACCCCCGGGGTGCCCCTCACCAGCAGATGGTCTCCAGGTGCCACGGCAGTTGAAGAGCAGCACAGTCACCACCAGTCCTAGTGCCAGTGCCAGCCCCAGCAGCCCAAAGTGCCTGCGGGAGACTGGGAGAGGGGTGGTAAGGAGGGGGCATCTGCCCATGCCCACTGCCCCCCACAGCCCCTCGAGACCCCCACTCACCATCGGGACAGAGCAGCTGCTTCCGAGCAAAGCGCACATCCGAGCGCCAAACCTGGAAAAGGGGCTGGGTGAGGGGGGGCCAGGTTGGGGTCCCCCCCTGTGGTGCGGTTGCCACCGCAGGGGTCACCTTACCAGCACGCAGCTGCCCAGGACCTGCACCGGCAGCAGCAGCTCCAGCTCCCCTGGGGCAGAGCCCTCCGGCTGCAAAGCACAAGAGCAGGGTCAGTATGGCTCGGTCCCCCTGCTTTGTCCCCCTCAGCCCTGTGCTGCCCACCTGTGTGACGGTGTAGAGGGGGGCCTTGGGCTCACACTGCCCACCCCGGCGCTGGCAGAGGGCTGCACTGAAGGCCGCGGGGATGCTGGAGGTGAGGTGCAGGCGCAGCTGCAGCCCCCGGGCACTCACAGAGACGTTCCAGGCAGTCTCTGCAGCCATCAGAGAGAGAGGGGGAGTTCTCAGGATGCCTGGTGGGATGAGGGGTGCGAGGGACCCCAGGGCAGGGCTGTGCTCAGCCCAGGGATACCCCCCGCCTGCAGGGCTCACCTTGCTGGTGGGGACACTCTACGTGGCTGCTGTTTCCGTAGGAGAACTGGAGGGAGCGGAGGTCAGTGGAGAGGCCAGGTGGGCTGCCGCTGCCCACCGCTGCCCCCAGCCCCTCCCCAGGCAGTGCCCACCTGCCCGCAGGGGCTTACCCGAAAGCAGAGCTGGGGGTGCACATCCACCTTGTCCAGTATGTATGCCTGGTATGGGCAGAGAGTGTGTCACTGTCCTCAACTTGTACAGCTTACAGGCACCCCAGCACGTGCCCACCACCCTCGGGGGACCATGGGGTCCAGCGGGTGCCCCAGCCAGGGGCACAGCGCTGCACAGCCCTGGGCTGGTGCCCCGCAGCACCCCAAAGCCAGGACCCCTCACCTGCTCCTCCTCGCTGGCCGTGGAATTGGGGATGTCATGGCAGGGAGCAGTCTCATCCGCCACCTCCCTCCAGCATAGGGTGGCCCGAGGGTGCAGGGGACAGCTGGTGCTCAGGACCATCGCCATCTGGTCCTTGCTGCTGGCGCTGTAGTCATGGAAGCGCACTGAGGACCACAGCTCGGGGCCATCTGCGGGGCAGTGCATCAGTGGGGTGGGGGAACTGCTGGGGGGACCCCTGGGACCCAGCTCCCCTCCCCGCGGGCACTCACAGGCAGCTGGCTGGGCACGGAAGGGGCAGTGCTTGCTGCGTGGGCTGTCGTGGAGTGAGTAGGTCACGGAAGGGGCAGTGCTTGCTGCGTGGGCTGTCGTGGAGTGAGTAGGAAGCCTGGGGGAGCAGAGCAGGGCGGTCAGGACAGGATGTGCCCCCACCTCCCCTGCCTGCCCTTGCTGCACGAGCAGGGACAGGCAGGGAGAGTGGCCCAACAGCCCCAGGGAAACGGGGCGGC